CTTACTGAATTTCAAACCTTCTTGAAGTTCTCTTGGGCCCTCCCTGGAGATCCTTTCGAGCCTCCCCGGCGCTCTCGGTGGCTTTCCCCGAGGGCCTCCCGAGCCCTTCCCCGGGCGCTCCTGAGACGCCTCAGATGGGCTTCGACTTTGACGCACATCCCCGAGGGACTTCAACACTGCCTTCACCAGGAGGGAGGCGAACGAGCCGCGCGCCGGGGCCCAGCTGCGGGAGCGCTGCAAGAGCTCGGACACGAAGGCGCGGTCTCGCTGCCGCCGCCCCAGCCGCCGCCGTGCTTATAGATTTTCGGCACAATCTCCGCCGTTCCTCCGAGAACCATTCCAGAAAGATGTCGTGGACGGAGTCCACGGGTCAGCCCTATGGCAGATGGAAGCGCGTGCGAAAAGGTCGTGCACTTTGCCCTCCCTGGAGGGCCATTTTTCGACACCCCTCATGCAGATCCTGGCCCCCGAGCGTCATAAATGAAGCCCTTCCCCCAAAGACGCGCCGAAGTGGCCATCAGGGGCTCCAAGGAGCGTCCAAGAAGCCCCCTAGAGGCCCCCAACAAGGCCCACGAGGCCTCCTAGAGGACTCCAAGAGACTCCAATAGGCCCCCAACAAGGCCCACGAGGCCCCCTAGAGGACCCCACCAAGGCTCTACAGGCCTCCAAGAGATTCCAATAGTCCTCCGAAGCATGTCCCCAGAGGCCACAATCCGTAATTGTTACATTGTTTTTGAAGGAATTTTGCCTGCTCGCCTTCTCGGCTAGCCGACGCTCCACGACGGCCGGAGAGAACCACAACACCGCCCCAGGACGGCCCAAGAGGCCTCCAAGCACGTCCCCAGACGGCCCAGGGAGCCCCAAGATGGCCCAAGAGGCGCCCAAGACGGCCCCGGAGGACCCCAAGCCAGGCTCAAGAGGGGGCCAAAGCACGGGGAAAAACCCTGACACTCTGAGTCCTAGGCCCCCAGGCACCCACACAAGGCCCCAAGGCCCCCCCAAGAGGCCGCCAAGAGCCGCCAACAGTACCCCGACGCATGCCCCCAGAGGCCAAAATCCTTTATTTCTCCATGGTTTTGGAAGGAATTTTGCCTTCTCGCCTTCTCGGCTAGCCGACGCTCCACGACGGCCGGAGAGAACCACAACAGCGCCCCAGGACTGCCCAAGAGGCCTCCAAGCGCGTCCCCGGACGGCCCAGGGTGGCCCAAGAGGCGCCCAAGCTGGCCCCAGAGGACCCAAGCCAGGCCCAAGAGGGGGCCAAAGAACGCGGAAAAAACCCGAGATTCCGAGCCCTGGGCCCCCATACGCCCACACAAGGCCCCAAGACCCCCCCAAGAGGCCTCCAAGAGCATCCAACAGTACTCCAAAGCATACCCCCAGAAGCCAAAATCATGAATTGTTCAATGGTTTTTGAAGGAGCCTTCTCGGCTAGCCGACGCTCCAAGACGGCCGAAGACACCCACAAGACACCCACAAGACCGCCCCAGGACGGCCCAAGAGGCCTCCAAGCGCGTCCCCAGACGGCCCAGGGAGCCCCAAGACGGCCCAAGAGGCGCCCAAGCCGGTCCCAGAGGACCCCAAGCCAGGACCCCCAGGAGGGACCCAAGAGGCAAAACTTGCCCCATTCGCTTCGGAAAACGTGCATTTTTTATATGCTCGCTCTTTTCGTCTTCACCGCGTCCAAGACGGCTATACAGACCTTCCCGATCGCCGAAGGACGCCCCCAGAGCACCCCAGGA